GGTTACTTTTACCAGCCTGTCCATTGATGCCATATCTATGCTCTGATGAAGGTCGACTAGACAGAAAACTCAACAATAAAGTGAGACACTGCGTAGATGTCAGTGTGCAGAAATCTTTTTCTACCATGAACAGGCCAGATGAAAGAAATGAAACAAAAAATCAATTTTACATTATTATGAATGTCTATATGGACATGTACACATCTTTTCTTTTTCCAATCAGTGAAAAATAGTACTTTTAATTCCCCACAGTGATCTTAGATTTTCCCACCTGTCATCTGAAGCATGTAATGAAGAGCTTCTGTACCTCTGAACCCTGAGTGAAAATCACTTTGCAGAATGAGATGCAGTTTCCACCCTCAGTCAAACTAAGACTATACTTTCAGGGATCATTTCTATAGTTTCTGACTTGAGAAATGTGTTTCTAAAGCGTCTGGTCTCGCTAACCACGATGATGAGTTGTGATATTCCCTTCTGAGCATGAAGCTGACAGAGAATAATGATTCAGGTCATATGTTCTCTGTCATTGATGATTGTTCTTTGCTTTTCTGTGGAGTATTGATGAAGGGAATATGATCAGAGTGGTAATAACATAAATGTTAAAGTTAAAACAATTATCTGAACAGAACTGCTTCTTTTTAGTGTCAAATTCAATGTGATCTGGCAGTTTTGATTGAGTTTTCAAATATTTGTTTTAAGTTAACCAAAGTTTTAGTAGGGATGGTAAATACTTAATTAGTGGAATGGCAAAGACCTTTTAACAATTTTAATTGAATCATTGGTTAGTTATTTAATTTTTGATCAGCGGCCAAACATTGCATAATGCTGCCTTCATTGTATAACACAATCAGGCTGAAACAGAATTCTTACAGTCAGACAGTGTCTGTAAATCAAATTGAAGTGTAGGCTACATTTGAGTCTTCTTAAACAAGGTTTTCTCATGATTCAAGCATTGTGTTTATATGATCACCTATGAAGCACTTGAACTCTAGTAATGATCAAAAAAACAGACCAACTGAAAGAAATGAAACAAAAATCTAATTTTACAGTGTTATGAACATCTATTTGGACATGAACACATCTTTTCTTTTTCCAATCAGTGCAAACTCGTCTTTTCAATTCCACATATTCCGTTTCTGACTTGAGAAATGTGTTTCTAAAGCGTCTGGTCTCGTTAACCACGATGATGAGTTGTGATATTCCCTTCTGAACATGAAGCTGACAGAGAATAATGATTCAGGTCATATGTTCTCTGTCATTGATGATTGTTCTTTGCTTCTCTGTGGAGCATTGATGAAGGGAATATGATCAGAGTGGCAACAACATAAATGTCAAATCTTAAACAATTATCTGAACAGAACTGCTTCTTTTTAATGTCAAATTCAATGTGATTGAGTTTTCAAATATTTGTTTAAAGTTAACCTAAGTTTAGTAGGGATAGTAAATACTTAATCAGTTAGTGGATTGACAAAGACCTTTTTACAATTTTAATTGAATCATTGGTTAATTATTTAATTTTTGATCAGCAGCCAAAAATTGCATAATGCTGCCTTCATTGTATAACACAATCAGGCTGAAACATAATTCTTGCAGTCAGACAGTGTCTGAAAATCACATTGAAGTGTAGTCTACATTTTAGTTCTCACAAAAACATTCTCATGAGTCAAGCATTTTGTTACTAATATTACCACCTTTGGAGGACTTGATCTTTGGTAATGCTTTTAAAGAACAGGCCAGATGAAAGACATGAAAAGAAAAATCAAGTATACAGTATAATGAATATTTATTGGGACTTGAACTCACCTTTTCATTTTTCTAGTCAGTGAGAGAAATATGTCATTTCTCTTGTCAGTATTTGAACCATCAACTTTTCTTACTTTGATACATGCTACTCTTGTTTTTTCTTTGTTATCACTCAGTACTGCTTTTCTCTTCTGTCTGTGTGCTGTCAGAGTCATGCAAGGACTGGCTGCTGTGATACAACAATGAGAGGAGCCTATTAATGACAGGGAGGAACCCTCAGTGATAGTAAGTTTGCAGTGAATGAGATGCAGTTTTCAGCCTCAGTCAAACTAAGACTATACTTTCAGGGATCATTTCTATAGTTTCTGACTTGAGAAATGTGTTTCTAAAGTGTCTGGTTTCGCTAACCACGATGATGAGTTGTGATATTCCCTTCTGAGCATGAAGCTGATAGAGAATAATGATTCAGGTCATATATTCTCTGTCATTGATGATTGTTCTTTGCTTCTCTGTGGAGCATTAATGAAGGGAATATGATCAGAGTGGTAGCAACACAAATGTTAAAGTTAAAACAAATAACTTGATAAAGCAGTTATGTTTTGCTGTCATCTAAAAATAATTGCTGTGATTGGTTTTTCAAATAGTTGTTCAAAGTTAGCAAAAGTTTAGCAAGGACTAAATCAGTTGGTGTTTTGAAAGAAAACAATTTTAGTTTATTTGTCAGTTAATAATTAAATATTTTAGTTGATCAGTGGCCAAATATCACATATTGCTGCCTTATTGTTGAAAATAATCAAGTTGAAACAGAGTTATTACAGTAAGACTGCGTCTGTAAATCAAATTGAAGTGTAGGCTACATTTGAGTCTTCTTAAACAAGGTTTTCTCATGATTCAAGCATTGTGTTTATATGATCACCTATGAAGCACTTGAACTCCAGTAATGATCAAAAAAACAGACCAACTGAAAGAAATGAAACAAAAATCTAATTTTACAGTGTTATGAACATCTATTTGGACATGAACACATCTTTTCTTTTTCCAATCAGTGCAAACTCGTCTTTTCAATTCCACATAGAGCCCTGTGATAGTCTGGTGTCCTGTCCAGGGTGTACCTTGCTTCTCACTCAGTGTCAGCTGGGATAGGTCCCAGCCCCCCACGACCCTTAACAGGATAATCGGTTATGGAAAATGAATGAATTATACTTTGTGGTCTTAGATTTCCTCACCTGTCATCTGAAGCATGTAATGATGAGCTTCTGTACCTCTGAACCCTGAGTGAGAATCACTTTGCAGTGAATGAGATGCAGTTTTCAGCCTCAGTCAAACTAAGACTATACTTTCAGGGATCATTTCTATAGTTTCTGACTTGAGAAATGTGTTTTTAAAGTGTCTGGTCTCATTAACCACGATGATGAGTTGTGATATTCCCTTCTGAACCTGAAGCTGACAGAGAATAATGATTCAGGTCATATGTTCTCTGTCATTGATGACTGTTCTTTGCTTCTCTGTGGAGTACTGATGAAGGGAATATGATCAGAGTGGCAGTAACAAATATGTTAAAGTTAAAATAAGTGTTTTAATGAAACATCTTCCTGTTAGTATGCACTTTAAAGACAAATGATTTTTTTGCCAAAGTTTATTAAGTATACTAAATACTTCATTGATTAGTGGTTTGACACAGATGTAATCATGGCCTCTGTCATTGATGATTGTTCTTTACTTTCCTGTGTAGCATTGATGAAGGGAATATGATCAGAGTGGTAGCAGGAGCTTCTGTGAAGACCTTACACTACAGCCTAAACCTATCTGAAAGGGGTTTAAATAGGAATCTTTCTGTTTGACTGATAAATTAGCTGAAAGCTCTACAGGCCACCTTCAGGTCTTCTACAATTAGATGTTTTAATGTGAATTGATTTTGATCATCCAATCGAGGCTTCTCAAACTTTGTCTGGTGTTTTGCTGTACACCCACTACATGTGATAACAGCACAGGTCATAAAAGTTCAACATGCAGTGCATCTTCTTACAAAGTAAATGTCAAACTAGAGTGATGGTAAAAGTACATTTTGACATTTTTAATTTTCATAGCAGGAAAAAGCACAGGTGTCACTAATAACATTACTGATTGCTCTGGTCTATTCAAGTGTTGTAATAAGCTGTGACAGTATGACAGTGAGCCAGCATGAACAATATCAGAACCCTGAAACTGACACAGCTAAATGGAGTTCAGCCATAATTAATTTCATTGTTACACCTGTGTTTTTCCTACAGTGACATGTCAAAATGTCTACTGTGAAAACAGTGCATTGCTTGAAAGCTACTCCCTACATGTCCATGTGACACTCACACAGGTGTTTCCACTTGACTAATCAGACCTCCTCCCAGGACTGTGTGGGCATGTACAGGCTGTGCTTCACTGACACCTGTAGATTAAAGTTTGTTCCACTTTACTCAGGTGTGGAGGTTGAAACGGTGGCAGAAGTCTAAAAGCAGCACCATCCTTCAGTCTCTGAATACAGTACTCAGTTGATCAACTACTGTTCACGTCCTCATGTTTTATGAGTTTAGCGGTCTCCCATGATACCCAATACTGTCCTCACAGAAGAGGTCAAGTGTCTGTCACATAAATAAACCAGCACTCAGTATAATATCCTTCTAAGCTATGTTAACTGTTATTCTCAGTGCTATTAAGTCTTTCACGCATTAATTATTACAACCTCAGCCAAGTGTTTTATTTTTCTTTAGGCATGAAAAAAAACTTATGAAGTTCATTTTTTTTAAACATGCATTTTTTATGGAGCTTTTCACATGTCCGCTCGGGTGGACAGCATAGGTTTAGAAATAGAAGAAATATAAACCAATTAAGATTGATATACAGTACAGGCCAAAAGTTTGGACACACCTTCTCATTCAATGCGTTTTCTTTATTTTCATGACTATTTACATTGTAGATTCTCACTGAAGGCATCAAAACTATGAATGAACACATGTGGAGTTATGTACTTAACAAAAAAAGGTGAAATAACTGAAAACATGTTTTATATTCTAGTTTCTTCAAAATAGCCACCCTTTGCTCTGATTACTGCTTTGCACACTCTTGGCATTCTCTCCATGAGCTTCAAGAGGTAGTCACCTGAAATGGTTT